TTTATTTTGCATCCCTTGCTAAGTATTTCTCGTTTATCATGACTAATAATGGTTTATTCTTTTTAATTGCAGGTGATGGGACCCACTAGGAGGAGTTGTCCTCGACTTACTCGAGACCGAGGGACACGCCAATAATCCCGAGGAGACGGAGAGAAGCCGCCGAGAGGCAGAGGCGTCCGAGGGGCGTGCCAGGGCGGGGCCCCGTCGCCCGGCCCGACCACGACCTCGGCTCCTCATGCTCTGCTAGGGCGATGACGACGCTTTCTCTGCCCGGTGGGCGAGGCGCCATTCCACATTTGTCTGACAACCATGCACCACGCATCCGAGATGTCCGAGGAGGGGTTCCGCACGTCCGAGGAGGGGGCAGGGGTTCGACTTCCTCTTGACCTCAAACCCTATAAGCGAGGTCCCAACAGCTCCAAGCGATCGATTCTTGTTGACCGCCAAGACCGATTGCACCCAAGGGGGATAGGTAAGTAACTTCATATGTTCTTCATTTGATATGTTGAAAAATCATAATAAGAGCTAATAATAACTATTGTTAACCACTTGTGCTGGCTGGATGCTTGTGGAGGAGGGGTCCCTATGCAATGTCAATGGGATCCTAGGACTTGTAGGGAACACTTCCACGGCCCGGTGTGGGCGTCGGAGGATGAGGACCCAGGAGATACCCTCGTTAAACCACTCGCCTCTTCCCATTGGTTGGGCACCTAAACTTATCACCGGATCGGGTGCTTACGGAGTTGTGGGTAAGCCTTTCTCGCTTGAACGACCCTCAATTCATTGCATTCATTGGACATTCTTGAAATAAAATAATGGATACCTCGTGTCTTTATGCAGACTTCTTCGATGCCACCGAAAGGGAGTTAAGGCGCGCATGAGGTGGGCTTGCTTCTGTAGAAAGGCGTGTCTCGGACTTGTATCACGAGTTCCGCCTCCAGTGCTTGACATTGACTACAACTACGTCACCTACCGTAATATGAAGAATGAATCAGAACTTCGAGCAAGAAGAGAGATAGAGATTACGACAAGGGAGCAAGACCTACGGTAAAATAGAAAACATCTCCTATTGATCTCTTTTAGATTAACTATGCGTAATTTGATCTTCTTATGGCTTGTAGGTGATTCCAGTATTTTGCATCACCTTTCCCGATTGTTTGGGCTGCTATAGTGGGACTAATGGTTGGTTGACGCGGATTTTGTAGCGCACCAAGAGAAAAGCGAGCACCGTATCTCGATGCAGTGTACCTCACCATCGAGGCAGCGCCACCTCAAAGAAATACAAAAGACATATGTAAGTCTCCACCACTTGTCTAATCTAGCCGCCTCAATTCTGCATGATTCCTAACCACATGTTGTTGTCTTTCTCGCAGGAGGCGGCGCACGGTGGCCAGCCAATTGGCCAACTCACGGCGTATGCTCTGGCCCACATGGGCCCGACAAAGTCCAACATCGAGTACAACCCGGATGCGGGCCCAGAGGCGTACACCAACTCCAGCGTCCACACTCGCCTCAGTTCGTACACGGAGGCATCAAGGTTAGTCCACGGGTCGGACTACGATCCGAGGACCGAGGAGCGCCTTGATCCTGAGCTAGTGATGAGGATTGGGTAAGGCAAGAAGCATGGGCGGTTTTACATGGGCGACGGCATCCTCGAGACGAGGCTGTACTCCTCCTCTCAACCGCCCTACGAGCGTGAGCACACGAGCTCTAAGCGTGCCCATAAGCCAACGGCCGACAGTGATGGCTTCAATCCGTAAGTATTCCAGCCATTCGTTGTTCTTTTTTTTTTACGCCCTTAGCACCGCATTATTGAAACATTGGGTCAAATGTTGCGGTCGAACTTGCAAAGACTTCGGGCTCAGCAGAGACAAGTTTGCTTGGTTGAGAGGGAGGCCGAGCGGGCCGAGCGGGAGTCCGGCGTCGAGGGTACAAGCTTTGGAGGCCCAAAGAAGATGGTTTGCTCAAGTTCGTGCAACAACTTGGGCGTAAACAAGGTTGGGAGATCCCAGCAGAGTAGCTGCTTGCACCACCACCACCACCACCATATCGTCGAGAGTCTACTCCGGTGAGTATGAGTACGGATGTTTTACTTTCTTTGCTCATGCTTAGTGTCAAACCTAGTGATGGCCTTCGTGCGGATTTGTTGATGTGTCGGCATTCGTGCGGATTTGTTGATGTGTCGGCCTTCGTCTTTGGAAATGTGGTTGTCGGCCTTCGTGCCGACGCGTTTTTCTTGCTGCAGTTTTGGAAACCTCCCGTGCAGGAGGAGGTGCTGCCAAAATTTTCAACTTTTCTTTACACTCCTTATATTTTTATCTTGTCACTCACGTGCAATCTCCTCTTTTTTGCAGCATCAATCGGGTGGGGCGTCGAACCATGTCGAAGGGTCGCCAAGCATCGCACGTCGGGCCATCCCCACCGGACCGTCGCGGGATCGCATGTTGGGGCGTCCCACCCTCACGATTGCCGTGAGCCGCCTTGAGTCGTTTTTTGTATTGAACTTGTGAACTTGGAATAGTGTGTACTTTTGAGCGTGTGGTTTGTAATATATTGTGGATTTCAACAAATTTGGTCGTTTGTGATATATAAATGTGGTTTGTGACATATTGTTGTTGATTTGTGGTTTGGTTTGTGATATATATATATGCTTTGTTGTTTACATGGAAAAGCAAAAACCAAAAAAAAAGAATTTGAGAGGTGGCTTCCCAGAGTGCCTGTCTTTGTGACACTCGGGAAGAGGATTTTATAAAAAAAACAAATTTCTTCCCCGAGTGCCGAACTTCGCACTTTCGCAAAGAGTATTTAAAAAAATTCAAAAATCTTTCCGAGTGTTGCACTTTCGGGAAAAAAAAAAAAAATAACGCCGTCGGCCACCGCCAACAAGCGTCAAGTTTTCCCAGTGCCAAAGACACGGCACTTTCAAAAAAGCCTTCCCGAGTGCACGATTTTTGACACTCGGGAAGGTGACTTTCCGTGAGAGGATTAGCCGGAGGCTCTTCCCCGAGTGTTACACTCGGGGAAGGCTTCCCCGAGTGCAACTGGGCCTTCCCCGAGTGCAACCGGCACTCGGGGAATCTAGCGGTTCCTGTAGTGCTGAAACAAACATCTCTTGAGTAGTCAATTTTATGGATTATTTTTGGAGTGAGCTTAGGGTTTCATGAGACGTCCATGAGAGGGTCCGCACTCAGCCACCCTGCCATCTTTTAGGTGGGAGAAAGTGGTGAGTGAGACTAAGAGAGAAACTACTCTCTTCGTCCCAAAATATCTGTCGTTTTCGTTTTTCGAGAAATAACTTTGACAAACTATATATTAAAAAATATTAATATTTATGGTACATAATTGGTATTATTTGAAAGATCTTTAAATCTAGTTTTTTAATAAATTTATTTGAAGATACAAATGTGTACGCATTTTCTACGAATTGAGTTAAACTTGTGGCACGGAAATCAAAAGTGACAAATAATTTGGGATAGAGGGAGTACTCCCTCCGTCCAGAAAAAAAAGTAATTCTAGCTTTGAACCTGGACATTCGTCGTGTCTAAATTGTGTTTTTTTTTCTGGACGGATGGATTATCTATTAACGCAGGAGAAAGTTGTGATCGATGAGACCTTTTTGTGGCCTTTCTGTCTTTGACGACGACATCTTCAGTCATCACTCACCTCATCATCTGGCTTTTCTTCTATCTTACCACTACCAGGAGCAGCCGGCTGGCATCATCAAAGCCCAATCATCACCCTTTCATTCATTTGTTTAATCATCACATCCCACAAGATGGACTCAGCAGTTGCTTTTTGATTGTTCCCTTCTAAAAAGCCCGCCTCTTTTTTAATGAACTTTGAGAGAAGCGACGACATGGACATGTTCTCTCTCTGCAGATAGCCAGCTCTGCATGCTGGAAGTGTTTGACCGATGTTCTGCCACCCGTACAAGCACGAGAAGACTTCTATAGTAATAATTGAGCTTGTGTGGTCAGTTACAGTAGTCAGCGGCTGAACTGAAACTAGAGACGATAATAGATCTAAATAGGATAATAACTGTTAACTTTAGCTATTGTTAGACCATCTAGCTGACCTATGATAATTAGCTTTAGCTACCCCAACCTAAATAATTTTGGCAAATGGATAGCCCGTGACCTTGTCCCTTCCTCTCTCGTTCGACATGATGCCACAGCCCTCTCACTTCCTCGAATGCTCAGGCACTCCATCCACCACCGTCTTTACCGGGCATGGCTCTCCACACTATAGTTGGTCTTCTCAACCACTTCTGAAAAAAACGGACGTTAAAAAATACCAGTCATTCTTATAAATCAATTTCGAGATGCAACTCGTTAGTTGAGTCTCCTAGAGGCATGTCTAGATTAAAACCACCCGTGGGATATCCGTTCTAGTAAAGAGTTTGTGTAGGTTATCTTCATTATGAGTTCTTAAATAATTGAGCACCACAAGTCCACCTTTGGATTTTGGCAGACAAACCATTTCCTATGCTATACACATGTAGAAAGTTGGCAAGGAAGAAAAAAATAGAATTGGTTAACTCGAGTCTTCCAGCTTGGCTAAGAAAAGGTAAAGTGATCGAAAGCCTTCTTTCGCACTTACATATATTGAATTGAATTACAAGGAGAAATTCCTCTAGTTTAGATTTAGAGCGTGTTTGGTTTTGTGGGGGGAGAATTACCTTGCCCAGCCTACACATGGGAAGGAGAAAACATGCCTGCACGAGCTCCCAGGTGAGTAGCAAGCCATCCAAACACCCTTACCTTATGAGGCGAGGAGAGGCAAGCATTGTCAACTAAACCAAACGCATCCTTAGCCGACCCAAGTGAAACCAAAAGCTAAATGATATGTTTTTCTGATCGTGCTCCTCTCCATAGCTTTCATTTGTTTATTTATATATTATAGAAAAACATACAAACTGAATCAGACGAGCTTATCCTTTCGACCTTTCCTCGTTTGTGCAGCTAGCAGCTAGGTTATCACGAAAGTCTAAAGCTGTAGTACTACCAATTCAAGGAGGACGTTGAACGAACGTTGAAAGTCGCCCTTCCCTTGCGGCCTGGGCAAGCATTGTCAACTAGTAGCATGAATTTTATAATGCCATTATCTTTTTCATGTACAACGATTGTTAGAGGTTGAGAAAGTTGAGTGGCAGAAATCTTAAAAGGGCCTATAATTACAATTTGCTAAACTATAACATATTGATATATTGAGTTATAAAAGTAGTAGTAAATGAAGAGTTGAAGTTATTTCTCAAAGATAGAGAAAAGTTAATAAGCACTAATTAACAAACAAAAAGCAGGCAAAGCAAAAACATGCACTAAACACATTCCAAAATTGCTCTTCCTTTTTGTACTTACTTTTGAAAAGATAAGGAAGATACAAATGCAAGCTAAAAATATTTAGCTGTGCAATAGAAGTCTTCAATTTGAGAATATATAAATTTGATAAATGTAAGAAACTATAAATGTTGATCTAAACATATGTGAGGGCCAATAAAAGCATTCCACTAATTCAATGGATTTCTGCATACATGCCTTATTTATAAGCTAGGCTCGACTATATATATACAGTAGTCCAAACTTCCATCTACCACAATACACTCCATGCACAAAGATCCACAAAAAGAGAAGAAGAAAAAACCACAAAAAAACCATGACTAGTAGCAGGAACAACATCGCCGAGGCCGCCACACCATCAATTGTGGTCATGGTGGCTCTGACGCTACTGACGTCGCTTCTGGCAATGGTTGCAGATGCACGACCATACTTGGCAATGCCACCTAGCGTGGTTGGGAATTTGTTGCCACGGGGGAGAGTATCACCTTCCGGGCCTAGCCATCCACCGTCCATTGTGGTGATGCCACCATCATGGAGAATACCACCCATCGGACCTAGGAAGCCGCCTTCCACGGTGGTGACGCCACCTGATGTGGCAGGGGATTTTCTACCACGGGGGCCTAGCAAGCTACCACCCATGGTGGCAATGCCACCTGAAGTGGTTGGGGATTTGCTACCACGGGGTAGGTGAAAGGTCCTTGTTTGGTTTTGGTAATTGAGTGACAACTTAGGTGGACTAATATGTGGTTATGTGAGAATACATAGGAGATTAGTCCACATGTGAATATGTAATGAAGGAGCTCATTGCATATGAGACATGACATGGAGTCATGTGACTAAGGTGGAGAAGATCAAGATGAGGCTTGGCTTGATGGACCGGTTGCAAGAGTGAAGGGTAAGTCGGAGGCTTTGAAGCGCAGGACCGCGTGACATATATTATCTTAACAACTAAAGGTATTCTTACCCTTAATACCGATTTACTCTATATATGATAAAACAAGGGTACTAGCTACTCTATTTATCAACCTACTCTAGGGCTACAAAATTTACAGTGAGTACATCATAATCTAATGATCATGCTGTAAAAATTTCATGACTAAATCTATCATCAATTTGCAACAAAAATTCCTACAAATAGTAGGATAAATAATACTAAGCTTTCTAAATTGAATTTATGAACCTATCATTATCATAGCTAATTATAAACTAATTACACCAACAGATAGATAGCATTTTTGTGAACCTAGCAAATTTTGGTTCACTATTTTTGGACATCTATAAGATTTACGATAATTTATCAAAGTTCAGCTCAAAACCAAATTGAATAAACATTTGTTAATTCACTGGAAATTGAAAAACTAAACTTCACCGTGCGGCCCACTACTCGTGGCTCGGCCCAAACTCCCGCAACGCGCGCAAACACGAGCCCTCGGCGCGGCCCACGCGCACGGCGCGCGGACACGGCCCACGCAACGCAAAAGGTCCTAATGGCTAGAGGGGGTGAATAACCTATTAAAAATTTCTACAACAACACTTAACAAACCGGTTGGACAATTATGAGGCGAAGCAAGTGTTGCGCTAGCCTACTAAAAATGCAAGCCACCTACCATAATTCTAGTTTATATAGTTTCTATCCACACAATAGCTATGACACTACACTAAGTTAGTGTGCTCTCAAAAGCTAACTAAAGAGCCACACTAACCAAACTAACAAGTTCTCACAACTAGCTACTCTAAAGAGCTTGACAACTAGTTTGCGGTAATGTAAAAAGAGTGAGCAAGAAAGTTATACCGCCGTGTAGAGGAGTGAACCAATCAATCACAATGATGAATACCAATGAAAACCAATCGCCTCGGAATCAAATGATGAACACAATGATTTTTTATCGAGGTTCACTTGCTTGCTGGCAAGCTACTCCTCGTTGTGGTGATTCACTCACTTGGAGGTTCACGCGCTAATTGGCATCACACGCCAAACACTCAATAGGGTACCGCACAACCAACACAAGATGAGGATCACACAAGCCACGAGCAATCAACTAGAGTACCTTTTGGCTCTCCACTGGAGAAAGGTTAAGAACCCCTCACAATCACCACGATCGGAGCCAGAGACAATCACCAACCTCCGCTCGACGATCCTCGCTGCTCCAAGCCATCTAGGTGGCGGCAACCACCAAGAGTAATAAGTGAATCCCGCAGCGAAACACGAACACCAAGTGCCTCTAGATGCAAACACTCAAGCAATGCACTTGGATTCTCTCCCAATCTCACAAAGATGTTGAATCTATGATGGCGATGAGTGGGAGGGCTTTGTCTAAGCTCACAAGGTTGCTATGTCAATGCAAATGGCCAAGAGAGTGAGCTTGAGCCGGCCATGGGGCTTAAATAGAAGCCCTCAAGAAATAGAGCCGTTGTACTCCTTCACTGGGCACAACGCGGGGTGACCGGACGCTCCGGTCATATTGACCGGACGCTGGACCCCAGCGTCCGGTCATGCGATGCGTGCCACGTGTCCCTCTCTTCAAATGTCGATTGCTCGATCTCAACGGTCAAGTGAAGACCGGACGCAGCAGCTCAAAGTGACCGGGCGCTGAACCCCAGCGTCCGGTCGTTTCCAGTAAGCATCCAGAGACAATTTTTCACGACGGACGCGTCCGGTCATCCTCGACCGGACTCACCCAGCGTCCGGTCACACGGTGACTCTTCTGTGCGCTGCCACATCAGCAAGACCAGACACACCCCTCTAGCATCCGGTCACTAAGTGACCCAGCATCTGGTCAGAGACCGACACCAGCGTCTTCATGCTCCACCTGACCGGATGTGCCGGTCCTACCGAGACCAGCGTCCGGTCACTTACAGTGACCTCCGTCTTTTCTGTCTAGGGCGCCGGTGGCACCGTCGGACTGTCCGCACTCTACAGGCGAACACTCCATCGGTGAAGGTTCCTACCCTTGCTCAAATGTGCCAACCACCAAGTGTATCAGCTTGTGCACATGTGTTAGAATATTTTCATAAATATTTTCAAGGGTGTTAGCACTCCACTAGATCCTAAATGCATATGCAATGAGTTAGAGCATCTAGTGGCACTTTGATAACCGTATTTTGATACGAGTTTCACCCCACTTAATAGTACAGCTATCGATCCTAAATGTGATCACACTCACTAAGTGTCTCGATCACCAAAACAAAATGGCTTCTACAATTTATACATTTGCCTTGAGCCTTTTGTTTTTCTCTTTCTTCTTTTCAAGTCCAAGCACTTGATCATCACCATGGCATCACCATCATCATGTCATGATCTTCATTTGCTTCACCAATTGGAATGTGCTATCTATCTCATGATCACTTGATAAACTAGGTTAGCACTAAGGGTTTTATCAATTTACCAAAACCAAACTAGAGCTTTCAATCTCCTTCTTTTTGGTAATTGATGACAACCCTTTCACAAAGATATGAATTGAAATTCAATTGAATCCATGTTGCTTGTCCAAGCATATTTATCATGTGTAAAAGGATATGGACAAGTTTTATGAATCCCATATGGTAGCAATTGCTCTCCCTACATATGTGCTAAGAGTTTGGATTGTAGCTTGCACATATGCTTAGATAGGAAATATAGGAGTCAATGTCTACCAAATGATGCTAAGGTATAAAAGATGGACCTTTGAAGCGTGATACCAATCGGAGTGCACCATTATACCATCCTTAGCACCATGGTTAGCTCGATAACACTTGGAAATGAAATCACTAGATAAACTTATGCATGCTAGATTTTCATTTTATCATTCAAACCTACAACTAGCATACACCACACAAGCATGGATATTAAAGTTTAAAACCTAGTGTTTGATCCCAACCGGTCCAACCACCTACCCTAGGAGCAAGAGGGCCTCACCAGCGATGTGAAGGGCAGTCTGGACACGGTCATCATACTTGGGAAGGTGTTTGACCACATGTACGTGAGGGCTCTGGTTCACGGCAAGCGCAGCGACGACGTTCCCGGTGACCTGCTGCTCCGTCGGTGAAATTGTTACAAGGACGAGGCAACCAAGTCAACACGACGCAAAGGCACCGCTCAATTGAAACAATGGAGCACGGAGTGACGCGCCTCGATGGCCATGGCGGACCGCCACGAGGAGAATGCCCCGCATTACCTCACTGGAGGATGAAAGCTCATCGGGATGACTCCAATCGTGAGCTAACTACTAGGGCTAGTTGGATGTTCGGTTAATTGGAAGGAGGTGGACTATGCCAGGCCAATTAGACGAACGACTCAGCTCGGTCTTATGGCGGCCGGTGATGGGAGAAAACTCAAATTGAGGACAGACGCTGTACGGTAGCAACAGTGGCAAGCTTGGCGCGAAGCTAGACTCCAAATCAACCTCCAGACATGCGCAATTACAAGGATGGGCTAGCTCTACGGTTTGGCCTTAGCGCGGCTCGGTCGGCCGGCACGATGCCATTCAAGGCGACGTGATAGGAGCTTGGCGTGGTGTGGTGCAGTCACTAAATGGGAGAGGACGGCAGCGCGATGGTGATGGCTCCACGTGCGCGTATGAGTCTGGCACGACGACGTGCAACCGCAGCGCCACGACTCGCAAGACGACGGCGGCTCGGCCCTGCGCGCCGTAGTGGATGGCGTCGGTCTAAGGAGGCAGCAGCGCAGCGTCGTCGACCGCTGATGTGACGGCAAGGCAGGCGGGGCAAGGCGACGTGCGGGCAACCATCAAGGTCAGTGATAGCAGTGACTGGGCGAGCGGCGGTCGGAGCGCAGTGCGACCGGGGACGCAGCTCGACGCGACGGTGAGCGTCAGTGGCTCAGGTGGACACGACGGCGATGGCAGAGCGGCTAGGCTTGCCATAGCGCATGATGCGACTCAACGCGGGTAGCGGCATGGCGCAGCGGCGACAGCGAACTGACCAGGACAGCGGGACCCGTGACGACGGCGGTGGTGGCCAAGCGGCCAGGTCACCGGGCGTGGCGTGCGCGTGCGTGCGTGGGTGCTTGCATGAGCGTGACAGTGGCGGTGTGGGCCCACGCAGCGGTGTGCGTGTGCATGCCAGGGGCAGGCCTGCGCCGCGCGCCAAGCCGAACCGAAGCCTGGTGACCGCGGCCCACTCGGGAACGTGTCTTGCACGCTTTTGAAAGCGTCCCCAAAACCCATCTCATTGCTTCAATTGCTAAACCAACTATTTTACGCTCGAGATGGTATATCAAGCTACTAAAACAAGCTCTAAGACCATGCCACTACTTAACCCAATTCGCTTACAAAAATTGCCAAACCTAGCTTTGTCGAAGCGTTTTCTAACTTAAGAAATTCAACTAAGTTCTTATCGGTTTCGCGTCGAATTCAATTTCCAAGCTATCAAGTATGCTAGCTAGCGAATCCCGTTCTCGACCGCAAGTATTTCACCATCATCTACGAATCTTATACTACAAACGTTATTAAAGTTGCGTATATGCGTTCTAAATATTTCCATTCAATAAAAATTCATTTGAAACCCTAAGTGATAAAACGCGACATGGAATGTAACATTTGTTTCACGTTTCCGACGAATGTTTCAAGTTATGTATATTGCTTTACACCCTATATTACACACATTTACACATAAGTATGATGCTCATGTAGTGTTTTAGC